TACTAAACCACAAAGGGTCGCACAGAAATCGTAACTTCATCCTAAAAGAAAATAAAGAATAAATGTTACATTAAATTGTAGGAAAAATGAATATTATAGCACTAAGTGCCCACCATACGAATAAGATTCTAGGAGCTCGTGTTTAACGGGATTTTATAAAGATTTTTATAGACGCAGATCGAAAGATCGTTTGAAAAGTTACTTCTCTAGACTAACACCTCTTGCTTAAATGTATTTTTTACCGAACTATACACAACAAAATAATTTTTTGTATTGTTTGAGCTAATAGTTCGGCCGTCACGAACAGCTGTGGGTTTCGTTTTTACGAAGTTCCACAGAAATTCCACATGGAAAATTGACTAAATTGTATTAAATGTGCGATGAATATGTTAATTAAAATTCCCCAATGCCTAAGTAAATGCGCTTTTGCTTTATTTCAATGAAAATTGGATTTGAATAAAAAAGACCACCATTTGGTAGGTAAAAAAGACGCCGATATGGGCGATTGACCACCGAACGGGGGTTAAATGACCATTTGGGGGTGTGTGCCCAACCTGAACAATGCGATACCTTGTTTTGCAATAATTTTAAATATCTGATAGGTATTCATGTGATGTATTTGTATTGCTAAAATTAAATTTCTGTGAATGAATTATGTATACATTTATTTTATATTATAGAAGAATTAAAGGAATTTAGGATTTTAGTTGTAAGATCGAATAAGTGTACATTCAAATAGTTTTGTAATGTTGGCCAACGAAATCTGCCCCAGCGATTAAAAATTAAAGTTCCGAATCAAATCATAGACCTTTCATCTCGTAAATTGAAAAAAATTAAAGCTAATTTTTATTAGATTGGAATCAAATGTGATGAAATTCACTGAAGGTAATATACATGTATAGACTGTGACGTGTACTTGTACATAAAGATTATGGTCGTTTCTAAAATAGATAGCGATCGATACGTCTTAATTATATTTAATATATTTTAGACATTAATAATTCTACATACATGCAATTATTGATAAATATTATGCTTAGTTCCTTAGGAGAATAGTTTTCCTACATGCAGACTGTAACACAATTGAATCCAATTTTTAAACCAAGTGAAAATCAAGCTTTATACTCTGTTCCATGTTTATCCTCATATGCCTTGTTTTGTTTTCAAAACTGGTATTAGACTGTAAGATAGTTACAAACCTACTGTAAGTAATTGCTCTTTATCTATTTATGGTATATTGGTACTAAGTAAATGTCACATAATATACACAATATATACAAAATAGATAACGATCGATGCATCTTAATTATATCTAATATATTTTAAATATTCATTATTCTACATAATAATGGATAAATAATTATGCTTAGTTCCATATATAGTAGAACAGTTTTCTTACATGCATATTGTAATACAATTGAATCCAACTTTCAAACACCAAGCTTAATAGCCTGTTTCATGTTTATCCACATCTGTCTTTCTTTGTTTTCAAATCTGGTATATAAAAAATAGATCCATCAAATATCTGACAATCAATAATGAAAAAAAGAAATTAAAACATGCGTTCTACTTTCGATTGAATTAAACATATTTTAAAATTTTGATTCTTTATGGTCTATTGGTACTGTACCAAGTAACTCCTTTTGGATAAGTATAATTTTCATACAGAAAGCAATTTCCTCCACACATACAGTTTACAATTCCGATTACCATAACGTAAACCAAAATATTTCAAGCAGAATTATTATAATACAAAGTACAAAACATTTTTTCTGCTACTACCCCGAGTCAAATGGGAGAACTGTTCTATTGATGTGTACTGTTGTGTATTTATCTTTATCCTACTGACTTAATATGGGAACAACCTTGAATGCTTCAAGGTTGGATTGTTTAGTACATTTACATAAATATAAGAAGAAAAACACGAATCGAACCAACTTTCAAATAATTTAAAAACTGTCATAAAATTTAAGATAATCAAAAATTGAAATAAAATGAAACTGAATATTCAGATTCTCTACCTACAACTTAAAGGTTCTTGATGATAGAGAATTCAAGTTTAATTATTATTATCCCTCAGAATTATACAGTCGGTCTGATTGGTTTAGAGCACGTCACGTGGGGTGAGACAATTCGTGATGTCTCCCTCACGCGCAGGGTGACAACTGTTGTCACCCTTCAGATGACAATGAAATAGCGCAAACGCGCATGCATGGTTACAACTGTGATGTTGCCCTTTGAATGAAAATACGGTATTTTAAGCGAGATAACCCTTAATTAAACAGGTGCTAAAAATGCGGGATCGGTAAACAATAACTTCTAACGATGACGTCAAATTCTCTGTTTACATATTTTGAAAGTACGGAATCAAAGCAGAGTAAAAATACACAAAAGGTTTCATCAGTATCTCTTCTTTATTTTACTGATAATTTAGATTCTTCAGAATAATAAAACTATTATGTACTGTTTAGAAGGGAGCAAAATTATTGTAATAGAAGGGAAAGTACAAAACATGTTGGGTTGTCATCCGAGGGCGCTTGCGCCCGAAGGTGACAACCCTACTCAGACCTGATATCTGGTGATGTCTCCCTTCTAACTAGTCCATAATAGTTTTATTATCCTGTTAGTAAATAGGAATCAAACTTCTTGTTTTTTTCTTCTAAGGTTCCATACTGTTCAAAATAGTACAACTTTGACGTCATAAATATACCGAGCATATTTAGCAATAGTACTTATAAATGAAATAGGAGTTATCTCGCTTAAATCACTGTATTTCATTCAAACGTAGACAACACAGTAACTGTTGTACCCTTGCATGCTTGTTTACGCTATTTCATTTTCATCTGAAGGGAGATAACAATTGACACCCTGCGAGTGAGGGAAACATCACGAGTTGTCTCCCTGCAGGTGACCTGCTCTAAACCAATCAGATTGACTGTATAATTCTGAAGGATAATAACACCAATTATTGATAATTGGTGATGTCTCCCTTCTAAACAGTCCATAATTGTATTCGTCACATCCTTTTTTTTCTTCAAATTAAGGATGTCAAAACAAGCCATATCAATACAAGATTCTATCACGGTGGAGACAACCTTTGGGGAACACGTCATAGAGCTGTGTTATGGCGACATTACCGAACTCCCCGTGGAGGAGAAGATGGACATCGTCATGGTTTCCGCTTTTATTGGTAGGTTAGACGTCCTTAATTATAATTATATCAGGATGGGTTTATTTGTAAACATTATGATGATTATACATTTAATTTATTTGATTCCAAGGGGAGGCTGGCAAATTTTTAAAATAAAAATTTATCCACGGAAATATTTATAAGCATTGATAATATCAGCCTTTGTCAGATTTAGTACACTCTTTTTCCTAGGAAATTGCTTTATGGCTTTGGACAATTTTCTGATAACTTTTACTGAAATTATCTGCCTCAGAAAAAAATGCAATGCAACGTTTACTGTCATTAATTATTGAATTAAGTTGATATTCTCCAGGGCTTATGCTACATTGTCGCTAAATTAATTGAAAAAACAACAGTTATTAGATGCAATAATTTATGTCATTTTATCGCTGAATTGTAAGGCTTAATTATATTTCTATCATTTAGCAGCCTTTTATCATTTGCGGTTTCTACAAACAAGTTTTACAAATAAAAATAATATTTTCTTAAAAAATGGCGTAATGTTATACATTTATCGACTGCGTTCGAGGGCAATATGCGTTTTGTCGGACCCAAGAACCAAACTGTCTGTTGGCGTTTTGCCAGAAATGTTTTGTTATACCTTTATTATTTTTTTTTTTTATGAATGTGTATTTTGTACTGTATTTCGTGATGTAACAACAGTGCCGTAAATACTGAACACCAATGAACGAAAATAAGATTAAGCTCTGCCCATTCTGTGACGTAAGCGGTCCAACATTGATTTTTTTTATGCCTGCTCAGCAAAACACTAGAAATGTTAGACTTTTTTCGTAAAGATTTGTATAGGAACAAATCTTTCAATGTATAACATTTTAACAATTCATGATAATATTCTCCTGTACATAACAACGTAAAAATTGTATTGTAGACGACTATACATGTACCGATGATCCTAAAACAATATTAGGAGCGCTTAATCACAATCTGGGTATATATCCGTGCGTGAACTGGCCCGAGACAAAGACATGGACCTCCGTGTTCACTACTCCTGCTGGATTTCCAAACCCTTACCCCCGGGCAAACCTTTTGGTCGGGTGCTGTGTTTTGAAAAGTGAGTATAATGATTTTTTTTGTTTTACAATTTGAAGATCACTGTATTTCAGGAAAGTGTCGTTATTTGTAATTGGAAACTGCTTACATGGAGTTCAATGTTGGCATCTAGAATCACAGCATACTCTAGCTTTAATTTCGATGATCAAAATTTATACAGATTATATCAAAAGGAGATTGTTCTCTATATATGAGTGCAATACATGTTGCTTTTGGAAATCTCTCGTTTCAAAGTATATTAGACTTTTGCAATACTGCATTAGTTCCCCGTGATTTACAAAACTGATCTTCATAAAAAGCTAATTAAAATGCAAAATAAAAGGTACGACTTCAAAAAGCTAATTAAAATGCAAAATAAAAGGTATGACTTCTTTCAGTACCAAATTTTCTACATATAATATACTGTAAGATCGAAAAAAAGAAACGCAGGATAGCGCAGAATATTCGAAAATCTTTTGACCCCATGACCGAAAATTAGAAAATTGGTCAAATGAGAAATTTAGTTACAATGCCACAAAATCAGTATTCAGAATTACTCAACCGTACAAGAGGCCTAGGGGCCACATCGCTCACCTGAGCTAGGAACAAAAGCACAAATCTGGTCCGAATTGAAAAGTTTACTGATTGGGTGGTGGTGGGGGGAGGTGGCTTGAATTCTAATACAACTTGAGAATGCCTCCATATCAGTACTGCATATAACTATTGAGAAAGTTCTTAAGAAAAAGATTTTTAAAGATTTTTTTTAACATTTTTTTTGTATATATTACTTTGTAATAATTTGAATTTGTCTCCCCATTGTTTCCCTCCCTACCCCAATTGTGGCCCCACCCTATCCCTGGAAGTTATGATTTGAACAAACTAGTATCTGCACTACCTGAGGATGCTTCCATATGAATATCACTACTCATGGCTTTGCAGTACTTGAGAAGAATTTAAAAAAAAAAGATTTCCCTTCAGGTATATATTCCTATGTAAAACTTTGAAATTGATTGCCCATTGTGGTCACATCCTATCCCCCGGGGTCATGTTTTGAAAAAAACTGGAATCTACACCACCTGAGGATGCTTACATATGAGTTTCATCTTTCCTGGCTCAATAGTCCTGGAGAAGAACATTTTTCAAATATTTCCCTATATATTCCAATTTAAAATTTTGAACAGCCATTGTGGCCCCACCCTACCCCCAAACTTGAATCTACACTACCTAAGGAGCCTCCCCCCGTAGCTACGTGCCTGAAAGATGGAAAAACGTCATGTTAAAGAAAGAACTATTCGAATTGCTTAGTATTACATAATTACATAAATTGAATAAAATCAATCATTTTAAAAGTTCTCCATAGTGTCTGCGTTGATCTGTATTTGTCAAATTTTTATTTGTTATTGTAGAACCAGGGGGAGCAGCGATAATTCACTCACTCCACAAATCAGAGACATGTTCAAAGTTTTGGTCCCGGTCCTAAATAACCAGAGCACGACAATCATTACACCCCTACTGGCGACAGGACGCCAGGTGAACTATTTTGAAGGATTTTGGTCAAAAAGAGAGTATAACTGTGATATAATTCATGTTTATTATCTTGCAGATATATACCAAAAAAATAACGTTCACGTGATACATGTACGAAATTCTACGTAAAATTGAACGAGAACTGTGAAATTTTTTTCACTAATAATTTTTTTTTTCATTTAAATTTCAATGCACATATCTTGCACAATATAAATATGGTATCGATAAATGGTATGATTGATTTGCAGTAATGAGTGATTTGTTTAATACTCTTCAACATTATGTTATTTATGCAGCGCTTTGACAAGAATATAGCACTAGATGCGATAGTTCAGGGGGCCATCAGCTGGATCCAGGCCGGACTTCCATTGAAAAAGTTAAAAATAGTCGTGTTTGGCGGGAAAGATGATGATCTGAACAAGTGTTTCTCTAGTTTAAAAGAAAAACATTTGAAGGCGAATAGAAAACAGGTTCGTCTTTTTAATTTTTTCTGCTTCATTTAAAATGCATATAAGAGCGTGTTTGCAAGAGACCTTTGCAGTAAAATTCGGGTCATGATATTTGAATCTTTCAAAGGAATGAATATTTTAGTCTTTCTAAAAACTTCACTTTTCTTAGGAAGAGCAGGGCTAAAGTGACTCTTGATGTGAGCCTTATGGTACAGGAGCCTTTTTTTTCAAAATCTATACATATTTTATTAAATTTTAAGTCCGTCGGATGGGACAATAAATGGTACCCTGTGTCAAGGATACAACCCTTGTAACAACCCCCTTGGTACGTAAAAGATCGTTTCTCTGGAGTTCGAAAAAGAGTAGGCTCATAGGGAGCCTCAAGAAAAACCAAAAACTTTCAAAAACCGGTCAATAAACAAAGTTATCCGCCGAAATATGGCTAAAATATTGCCGACTCGGCGTTAATATACAATTAATCAATCAAATATATATATTTATATCTGGATTTATACAGATATTCTTTTTATCTACTTATTACATTATATCGTAGATCTGAAAACATATTTCATTTTAAAATTATTTTTTATTTCCATTGTAGAAGAACAATACTCCTTATGATATATTTCTTGTTTACCAACCAAGTGATATGCCTTTAGTGAAAACCTTGTCCAAGAATCTTAGTAACCGGAATAAAAATACAACTATCTACTCTAACGTCTCAATGTTTAATGAAGAAGAA